CAGCTTCAGAGTAGATCGATGAATGAACATTCCTAGATCATGGTCCCACAGATGAGCAGGGGAGACCAAAAACAACAGGGGAGACCCTCCCATTCTGAGATGGGAGGGGCCACACAATCGAAGGCTGGTACAAGTGATCAGGGCAGATGTACAGCCACAAACATCACTTGCTGAAAAAAAATGATACCCAGATCACTGTTGCAGCAATAGCCGTGATCTTAGTATAACCACTTCTGAACGACAATGCATATATGTGCATGTGCATACAGAAATCCTGAAGTAGTTAAAGATAGTCAAACTGTGTCCTTGTCCAGATTACACAAATTCAGCAGTATATGCAGAGGTTTCTGTTGACATTGACCCTCTAGCCCCTGTGACATTTTTCCTCAAGAATAGCTTGGTGTCAGACATGCAGGAGGAGACTTCAGAATCATTGTCACTAGTCATAGATCCTCCTTTGTAGGCTGTGCAGTATGGAGAATTTGTTTAGCTGTCTCAGTAGTGTAGATGTATTGCCGTCAGAGCTTCTGGTCATCCTGGCTACCACTGAAATTAACTCTGTATGCCTAAAACACAATCTTCTTCAGGCTGTAAAAAAAATCACACAGTGTCTCCTTAGCTAAATTAGTCTGACAAGATAGCTCTTTATTGTCCTGCAAAAAAATAAATTTTAAAGAACTTTGTTTTCGGGTTATAGAATAATTCCTACCTTCCAACCATCCCGAATTCCGCTCGACTGTCCCAGGATTTCAACAGAAACATACTCTCAAGGGGAATGAGTGTCTCCCGCCCTCTGTCTGTAGAATAAAATCCATAAAATGCCCTGTCTCTGTATAGGGCAAATAATAAACACTAATTGGGTGTCATGTTATCAAATTATTGTCATAGATAATAAACTGGCAGTGTTGGTGCACACATTTGTCACACTAGCCTGCAAAGTCAGTAACTGGCAGGGTTCCCTGATTCACCTGTTCACGTGTAATTAAATAGGATGGAACACAAGACTGTGCAGCAATTGTCACAATCACAAAACAGGTCCAGAACAATAATGTGCAGGCAACAATGGAGTGAGTACATGTAGACAGGAAATGATTGAATGTCTCTGGAGGAGACCAACAGCACTGAGATGCAAAAACAGATATATAAAAGAAAATGTAAAAAAACATGGCAGTTGTTTATGATGCACAGTGTTTTAGCAAACTAAATATCACCCAGTTAGGGTTTAGCTCTACTTTAAACAAGTCTATTCCATTTAAAGGAAAATACTGTATAAAAGTACTGTATACTGTATAAAGGCATGTATTCACCTAGATCTCTTACACTTTGGGCTAATGGGCATGAGGAGATGAGGACAACGGATAATAACTGGGTGAAACTTTACTTTATGATTTTCAGTAGAAGTAAGTTTGGTATAGTACCTATACAGAGTGAACAGAATGCATAAAATAGAAGTGATAATACCCTCTATTATGTTGGAAATGTATCTCCAGGACCAGGATGTTTGGTGAAAACTTGAGGTGAAGAAGAAAATGAGTGAGAAAAAGATGAATGAGATAATCTGATGCAAATGACCATCTTCTGCTATCAGCTGAATTCCAACACATTTCAGTGGTAACAAAATCCTGCTTCTTCAGAGCTTGCATCTGAAGGAGAGCAGTTGACTTAGCAATGACATGCACAGCTGCTATAAAAACTTTCAGTATTTGTCTGCATTTCTGTGAAGGATCAGTCTATTAAAATAGTGAAACGTCAAGGCAGCAATTCAGTGCACAGCATCTATATTGATTAAATCAACTGTCTATAGCTATAGCAACTGTATGTTCTACTACAGAGTATATCACTATCCTGTACACTCGATTCCTGAAGAAGGTGGTTTTGGACCCCTGGAACATGTTGGCTGGCAATTGATTTTCCTTTATATGCAGCTTTTACACTAGACTTTAATGGATCCAACTCTTAGCATCGGTAGAAGACATTTCAGGCAGATGGCAATTTAAATCAGAAGGGCTACTATTTCTCTGTTTACAATTATTCTCCGTAATTAAATATAGTTATATATAAGTCTTTTGTTTTTTTTTTCTATAATCCTGACATAGCACAAGGAAATTAGATGAACGTTAAAGAAGATACAATATGTGAAGAGAATTTTAATCTTTTGTTTTGTAATATATTGTGCTTTTTTGCCTTGTTTTAATTATAGCAGTGATTTATTCAGTTGACATTCAGAATTATCTTTCTGTCATGAGTTGATAGAGGCTTGCGAAGATCCTACTTATATGTCACCAATTTCCCTGGTTGCATATTCCGTTCTTTTATGGGGCTAAAGTACGAATGCTAGGGAGACACACGGGCGAAGCTTCAATCATGTCTGCGCATCACGCCGCCTTCGCTCCACTTTACACCCCTAAGGCATAATGTAAATGATGAAGAGGACGGGACTTCATTTTGTCATCGTCTTTTCAAATATCAGGTTTTATTAAACAAAACATTTTTCTTAATCACAGGTGCACAGCGATAGGATGAGTGACATCTTGATGTGCTTTCTTTGAAAAGTCTACTCCCATGGCATTTTTCCATGCACTTTTAAAAATGAGCTAGGATTCTTCTTGTGCAGAGATAAGCCCTAACTCAATGTCTAGAGAAGCGCTGCATTTATATGCCGCATTCCAGGATCATAACTCAGAAATGAATTTAAGGAGGGAAGTGAAAAAAATATACAAAATCAGACATCTTTTATCCAAGTTGATGGAGACATCGTGTGATGGATTTGACCCTTGCTGTTACATGGAAAAGGAAATCCCCTAATGGGAAGATTTTCAAGAATTCATAGATTTATGATGTGGATTTAATCAATAAGGCAGGGAGCAGGTGTATCAAATGGCAGTGTTCTGCACAGTGCTTTTTGGAAATTCTAGAAGCTTGACCCTGAGACTTTGAGAATTTTGGTATAGCCAAAGGACTTAAGCTTTACTCCCTGGATTTCAAGGTTACCTATTTAAAGATCAAATTTTTTTTAACATCATTTCTTCTATTACCTTTAGCCGATTTTTGTTTTTAACCTGATGGCAGTTTACGGTTAAAGAGAACTTGACACGTTGCCTATTCAAGGCATCGTAACAGAGTGTCACGACTCACTAATGGTAATGATTAATTACAAGCTAGGATCACAGGTGCAGAGCCTGGGGTCAGGTTGTTTACACAGAGTGTGTGGTGAATACAATGTGTCCTCTTATGAACACAGTGGAATCACTTTGGCGTTGCCCACATAACACTATTGTGATTTGGGAGTCCAAGGGTTAAGTCCCTGCATTCTGTAACCTTAGAGCCCTTAACACACAGGTAAATGGGATAGGAGTATTTCATTCAATCCCTTTAATGATTAGGGAGTGCAATCCAGTGTTTCCTCACACCAGTACAAACAGACTGTTTGTAGTATAGCAGTTAATACAATCCTTTACATGAGTAGAGAGTGCAATCCAGTATATGACCAGCATTACAGTTCCAAGAACATTAAGTCCATCACATGAATGGCAAAGCAGTCAAGTAGTGAGGGTATACTTGCAGTTAGTAGCTCAGCAATAGTCCACTGCGGCTGGGATACGAGTCCCCACTGTGGGAGTAACTTTTCCCACACCAATGTCTCCTTTAAGAGAGGTCCCTTAGCATAGCAGCTGTGGTGGAGGTGAAGGAGTCTGTCAGCACTCACTGACAGGCGAAGGTGCTCAGCAGGGAGTTGCTCACAGGAATTGCTTGTTGCAGGCAACAGAAGGCTGAGCAATTCAAACACCGCGGCTAAATGTGGGTGAGCCAGAAGTGGGAGGAGCAACAGGAGCACCTCGCTGGGATTGATCGGCGGCGCTCATTAGTTACAGTCCATCTCCAGGTGAGTCTGTTACACAGTCTCCTTAAAGGGACATTAAACCCTCAGATGTTTTAACATAAAACAATACTGTAATGTGCACCTTACTGTAATCCATGGTTGTTTCCCTTCTCTTTGCTGCTCTTCCTTTTAAATCTGTATCTGTTCTCATGCTGGGCAGAACTTCTGTTTTGCAGCAGACTGCCTTGTCTCTGAAATGGATACATGGTGTCTGTGTGCAGGTTTGCAACCTGAGCCAGCACTACAGGAAGAGGCACTCAGCTGCAAAGGGAAGTTCTCCCCCAGCATGAGAAGACATGATGATTTAAAAGGAAGAGCAGCAAAGAGAAGGGAAACTACCATGGATTACAATAAGGCACACATTCCAGTATTGGTTTATGTTAAAAAATCTGAGGGTTTAATGTCACTTTAAAGACTACTCTTGATTCACTTATACTCACTTTTGCCTTGATCCTTTACCTCACCATCAGATTGCTTGAGAAATACCTGGTTCTGGGTATGTAGTCATTGGCAAACATGAACATTGTGACATGAGGATGTCCTTAACCCTGAGTAAGCCGACACAGAGCATACACAGGGTTTGACTTCTGGCTATGACAGAAGAACATAGCAGTTTGGGAAAAACATGTGAGTATAGAGAGTTGGGAGGTGGAATTTCAAGAGACCCTGTCAGTTAGCCCTAAATAGGCACATTTTCATTGTTCCTGTAAAGTGATTTTGAGATGACCATAATCATTTTGAAAGTAACAACAGTGCCGATGTTGAGGCATCTTGTAGTGCCTGGAAATATCTGTGCTATATTTTAACTGTAGAGTCCCCTTTAATCCTAGGCCCAGGCTGGATACGGAGCCTGGAATTCTGCTCAAATCAAGACTGAACCTTGTCCCCTCTTAACAATCGAATGGTCAGGAGAGGGGGAAAACTAATTTTGACTTGGGAAAAATGTGGGACCCAATGTACAGCCTGAGCCTGAGATCCAAGGGGCTACACCCCTTGCTAGGGTTCATTTTGCTATAACTTCTGTATTTAAAACTTATTTAATACTAGCATAATGTACATTCTGACCACAAGTTACAAATCAAAACACTCATATTATAGACTACATGTCATAAATACATACTGGCATCTCTTTGGGTCACACGGGGAGGTGGAAGGTGTATGGCAACAGCGTCCCAGTTTGCTAAGAGCTCTCAAGCAACCTGGAATGCTCTCAAGCAACCTGTAATGGTCTGGCCGGAATCCTGCCCAGCTCCTGGCAGCCAGTGATGTCACTTGTTGCCAGGAGTTAAGCGGGTAATTCTGGCCAACCCCTTGCCCACCTCCTGCAACCAGTGACATCAGTGAGCTGGGCAGGACACCAGACATGACAGATCTGAAGCCATAGCCCTCCATTACATGCACCACTTGCACAACCCCCACCTCTCAGGAACATGTGCCACTAGCCACCTCTAGCCCCTCTAACATGCACCAGCAGTACATACTCCCCCCCGCCCTTTCTCAGGCGGTGAATAGTCTAGGGACACCATGTATGCAAGCCTATGGATATGCAAAAAACACTCAAAGCAGGTCAAATTCAAAGCAGGTCAAATGTAGGTCAGAAGGAGGTCAACTGCAAGTCAAATGGCCTGTCAGTAAATTCTAAATGATCTCAGAAATGTCTCAGGCTGATGTCAAACTGATGCCACTGACACAAGCTCAAAGCCTATTGACACAAGCCCTAACAGACAGCAGAAAAATAATCTTTCAGCACATGCACAGTTTAAGAATGGGAACCTCTGTTTTTACTGTTACTTGTGTTCTTCGAAAAATTACTCTCACCTCCAATGTCATTGCCAGTGCATTTGATTCTTGCATCTGTGTGTGTTAATTTGAGCTCGGGCTATTGAATTCTATGAACAATAGACATTTTCCTGCAAAGTAGGTATGGTTAAATATTATCTATTTACCTGACTGAAATATAAATTTTTACAATATTGTTATAATGTTTTTTTTGTTCTGAGTGTAATAATTAAATAAGTATATACAAAACATTATGCATTCCCTTTAAAGTCAGCATTCCAGGCCATCAGATGTTCCCCACATATGTGACGGAATAGAAATGATTTTGGGCAGCTTGTAAGTATAACTTCACAGGATATGACTTTTTACAAAATAATTTTGTTTTGCAAAGTGACTGTTTGAAGGATTACACAGATTATGTGATCTGTGTTCATGTAGTTTACCTTTCCTATGCTGACATAAAGGAAAAAATATACATTATGTATTTGCAACATTCCATAAATCCTTTCACAATTCTTCTTTACTGTACAGCATATCGTCACACGCCTTATTTATTATTTGCTGCCACGGTAATAATTGATTGACGGACTTTGGGACTGCTGCAAAGTTTATAAACTTGTACTGTTTTGCAATGCTTTATGAGTTGAAACCTTGACAGATAGGTCTCCTGGTACGTACAAGAAATGATTAGCATACAGTGAATACATTACCCCAGGGCTCAATTGACAAGCACTCTTGTCAAGCTGATTGATATGAATTGTGCCAATGTCTTTACATGGAGGGCAGTGCTGGGTTGTTTTTACTGTTAAGTAGATGTCAACGAGTTTTTACTATGTTATCTGCACTAAAAGAATTGTGCTGTTTCTGCAGTTTTCCCTAGAAGCTATACAGACACTCTTTGTCAATAGTGCTTCGGTGGATCTATAAATCAGCAAAAAGTTTGTATTGGCTTCTTGTCAAGTAGACATTTCATAGACCCCAACGGCTCATGTGAAACATACAATAGACATGGTCATATAGTTAATTCTGACCACTGTACTGTGGCATGGAATTTTTTTTTTTTTCCTGCTTATTGTCCTCTTCAGTTCAAAAATGTTTCCTAAAGGGCCAATGCAGTCAGATGCTAGCTTCTTATAGACCGTCCTGTCCTAGTTCCTGGATGTGTTTCTGTCCACATGGGAGTGTTAAATATATCTACCCACCAATGAGCATTCTGGCTGAATAGTTAATATTTTGCTGTGCATTCTATACTCAGTTGCAATTTCCTTTTACTACGCCACTGCAGATTTCAAAGTTGTCATTATGTCTGCATATAAGTGAACTCGACAAGAACCAGCAGTGACCTCTGACTGTCCTGACACAGCTGGCAGTATCAAGCTTCACTATTTAAGTCTTGGCATAGTCCTGTTATCAGCATGATACCTGACCCGATCCTTACACAACTCACTCTGATTTTGGCTTACCGGGCTTTCCTATGATCTCGCTTGTTTCAATGTGCTTTTTTATTCCACCTCTAACTGGTCACCAAGTCTGGACTTAAATGCACACTGTTTAGGTGACCCTGTTCAGCCCTGCCGTTTCTCACTATACTCCTTGGGTATCTAGTGTAGCTTCCACTGCTTTTTTTGACTCTGCTATAACTCTTTTGTCTTGATCTTTCAATTTTTTTCTCCAGGGTCACTAATAAGAGTTTTAAACATAACATTTATATACAACTGGTTTAAAGTGTCTAAATCCAAACCTTTTTTGGTTTTGTTCGGATAAAGTAGGAGACACTTAAAACTAGTCAGTTTTCTTTTTGCCGCCTATGTTCTGTTGTCCTAAACACACCATGAAGTGAAAGAAAATCTTGCTAAAGTGATGAAAAAATAATTATTGGACAGCTGTCCCTGGAAATGATGCCCTCATTGGAAGATGGGGAGGGAGCGGGCACAGCTGGCTCTGCCTCTAGATAGGCAGATTAGCCAGCTGGGTGGATATCGACAGTATTGTCAGGATCCATCCCGACTGCTGCACTCTCAGTATATAGCGAGCTATAGCCTGCTTTATACTGAGCTTTGGGTCATGGGAGGGCATTAGTATATGTCCTCCCGTGACCCTAAAGAGAACCATGGGAAAACAAGGTTACCCCATAGTTCTCTTTTGAAGCTATGAAGCTACCCTTCATGACTTCAACTTAATCTTGTCTAAAGCTAGCCTTACATGGCACAAATTTGTGGCGACTTCTTCCAAATTAGACAAAATGCAAGCTGTGGGTGGTCCTGTCAGCAGCACCAAGCTTAACAAAAGTAAATTTAAAAATCAAATGAGCTGCATAGAAAATCCCCAGCCAAACAGTATCTGTATCCTATCAGATACAGTCGCTGTTCTGGTATTCAGGCAGCTGTGGGTATCATCACTGGCGGAACTACCAGGGTCGCAGCGGTTGCAATTGCGACCGGGCCCTGGCGTTCTGCCATTTGGGGGGGCAGAGGAAGGAAGTAGAGGCCCTCCCCGCGATCGTGCCGCTCCTTCCCTGTTGCACAGCCACCCGCAGCATGTACGGGTGGCTGTGCGAAAGGGCTGGAGACGCTGTCACTGATCCCGGAGAAAGATCTGACCCCGCCTCTTAGGGGCAGAGCTAAGAGAGCCGTCTCTTAGCTCCTCCCCCTGGCCGCCAAGACGAGGAAGAGGGCCATGGGCCTGCAGGAGAGGGAAGGTAAGTTTGGAGTGGGAGGGGGCGCTGGGAAGAGAGAGAGAGTTTGTGTGTGTGTGTGTGTGTGTTGCTTGGACTTGTAGTCCAGCACAGCTGGTGGTAATCTGCATTGCTGTATGATGATTACACAGCAATGCAGAATAGCACCAACTATGTAGGAATACAAGTCCCAGCAATGCATTATAGGGTGGGGTGGGGGGGGCAGGGGGTTGGATGCTGGTGGTATTCTGCATACCTTACTTTTATTATAATGTATTGCTGGGACTTGTAGGCCTGCATAGCTGGTGGTATTGTGCATTGCTGTATGAAGATTATACAGCAATGCAGAATAGCTCCAACTATGTAGTACTACAAGTCCCAGCAATGCATTATATTTTTAAGTACGGATACACCAGTGTTAATACTGGGCATTTTCACAAGTATTCATACTTGTGAAAATGCCCCGATAGTAACCGCAGATACCGTTCTGTCGAGAACGCTGACCTAGTCGAATTTGCCGACCTCAGCATCTGCGCTTACACACAGACCAATATTATCGAGGAAACCGGGATTTACTCACAAAGTATTTAGTTTAAATCGTTAATTGTGACCAATAATAATATTCTGTCCATCATTTCCTGCCACCCATCATTTACTGCCATGGACGGCATATCATTAACGGTCACAATTAACCATTACAAACAAATACTTTGTAAATAAATGCCGGTTTCCTCGTTAACCCCGTCTGTACATAAACACAGATACTGGGTCAGCGTTCTCGACAGAACACCTGCACTACAATTTTAAACAAGCAGCTGCCTGAGGTCCCACGCTTGCTGGGGACCTTGGCAGCCTTTCCTGTTTACCATGCAGTGCCGTGGGGTTGGGGGGGCCCTTCATGGTTTCTTGCACCGGGGCCCTGAGGGTTCTAGTTACGCCTCTGGGTATCATGACTGTCTGAATAGCCAGCAGTGGATGGGGAAATTGTAATTGTGAGAGTGACCTTCTCTCATTCATGTATATGGCCAGCTTTAGAATTTTATTCAAATACAATAGCCACTAATAGAGAGGTCTAAGAGAACACCCTAATCACATCAATCTCCAAGAAAATATGCATTAGGCCAACATTCATATTCCAGTGCCAAAAAATAATCTATTGGTGATGTTTTAAGAAACTTGTGGTCATAGTACACCTACAACAGAAAACGCGTCAAGATGTGTGGTCATATATTATCACACACAAACGTGTGTGATAAAATGATAAAAGTTGAACATTTTGTTTTGTAAATGTCATAGTACCTTGCAAAAATGTTAGTAAGTACCTTTAAATGTTCTTTTTATGATGGATTGCTGCTTGATGCTAGATTCCAGTGCATAGGATTGCGGGAGGAGATATATTTTGCATGTTGCAATGTATCTGCCACTTTGCTTTTCCACTGCTTAATAAATCTTACTTCTATTGGTGAAATCCTGCATATTCTGATTGCTGCACTTTCTCACATGACCTTTCTCACAGCATCAGATTGTGGCTTCACAAAGAAAGACCAATTGACAGCAAATTGTTGGATGGGATGAACAAGGAAAAGTATCACTGGCCATCTAAACCCCCGAACTATAGTAGCATCCTGAGCACAACCTCAAAGCAAAATAAGAATTTACAAATGCTAAATATGCATGATACACCTTTTAGGAAATACAAAATTCAACAAAATGACCTCTAAGTTATAAGAAAGGAACATAAAAAAGACATGCAATACGCAACCTGTCTGCATTTGGCCAACGCAAACATGATCCAACATAAGCCTTATATAAACATAAATCTAGGCAGTAAGGTAAACAAATTTTCACTCCAAATTACGATGCCAAAGCCAAAAGGACGTGAATCCACCGCACACAGAATCGTGCATGTGCAGTTTCATTAAAAAAGTTTTATTTGTCCCCTTCTGCTTTTTCTTAATATTGAAGACCATTCAGAATGTAGTAGTTTTAGTAGTGAAAAACAGTCAGGGTTTAAACCACCATGTACTCCCCTGAAATACTATTGTAATGGGACATCACAACTCCCCCCCCCCCCAAGTATAATACATGTAATAAAAGTACTAACATAAAGAATTACAAACATGTAAATCCAAAGCTGGCATATGTGCTCCAGTTAGGATGCAGTAACATAGATGTGTGAAGTTTTATTCATGAAAAAATCTTTTTGAGAAATAATTTAAAAATAATTAAGAGCGTTTTTTGTCATTTTTTTTAAATTCAGTTGTAACATAAACAAATTATACATGATATAATTAAAAGTGTCAATAATGAGGATCTCTGTAAGCTAATTCCAGATCTTAGTAACACTTGCCACATGCATTAATTTGTTTGTAGATTGTTTGGAAAATATGGAAATTTGCAATAGAAAATGTCCACTCAGCTATGAACACAGTTTTGAGGGCAGAAAGTGCTGACTGCAATCCAACATGCCAATAGCACATGCATTTTCTTTGGTTTAGATAAGAACATTTACCACAGCAATCAAGCAACGTGCCATGTTTTTCGAGGATAACGTTGCTCAAAACAGAATGCACATTTGATTCCTCCACAACATGTAGCTCTTTGAATTTGGGGCATTTCTATCCTTTCCCTCTGTCGTATTTAATAATCTGCTTATAAGTCCACGATGGCTTATAAGTCCACGATGGCATGTTTATTTGGCTTGCTTTGCGATAAAATTGCTTGCCGTGGGCGTATTTGCACTCATAGGCCATGCCTATACTGTAGCAGGTAATCATTATGTCTGCAATTTTAAAAGTTTTTTCATGAAAAATATCTTAATGTTAACAAAAGTTACTTTTATGCTGTCAAACGTCAAAATGTGAAAACTATAATTTGGCATAGATGTAATACAAACTTACAGGCAGAAAAACCTTTGTAATCTATGTCATCCTGAGTACCACTTGAAGAGAAAAATGAATATACTTCAAGCATAATGTTGTCTCACTCTGCAAATTATCTTACTCAATACAAACTTTATTTGCCCAAGTCTGATGTGACTTTGATCAATAAATAAATCACCCAGACAAGACAAGCCAAAATGTTGATTTAGTCATGAAACTGACAGAGATAAATTGCTTAATATACTTAATGCATATAAAAAAAATCAGTATGTACATTTTTCAAGTACTGCAGGTGCCAGAAATGATAATCTAGACACAAACAAAGTAAATGAGTGCTAATCATTTATCGTGTAGAGGGAGTAATTATCTACACTACTGAATTTGGAAAAAAAAAATTGGGGTGTAAAGTGTGGATTGCTATATAATGCTTGTGTTTTATTATTTAGCTGCAATTAACTATTTTCGTCTTGAAGATTTTTTTCCAAAGTTATGCTGGTTTGAAAGTTTGTAAAAGTCGATCTCATCATTCAAAAAAAGAAAAAACATCCAAAACAATGTTTTTTTTTATTTATTTTTTTCTCTAAAGACATTATGTTTTTATTTAATTCTCTCCTAGAAAATGTAAGCCGTGATTAAATAAAAGAAAAAGAAAAATGAAACTTCTTTCAGACGTTAAAATGAGTAATGAGTTTAGAATTAATCCAAAAGCAATTTAACTTTAAACATTCATATGAAATTAAATGAGCCATTGAATTTGCTATATAAGCATGCATTAATCTTATCTTGCCCTGAAGAGAACGTTGCACGGTGACCCATTAATTTCGAAGCCTAATACAAGGTCTCTCTAATGCCTGCAGTCCATTAAAAAGTCTTATGCCCAAGTATAAGTGATTTTTCACAAACTTCAACTCAATGTATACTTTAATATTCAAATCACTTTGTGATCTCTCATGACAAGATTGCTTTTCAAAATGTCTGTTTTGAGTTGATTTAGAGAATCAAGAAAGTGAATTGTTTAATTAAATGATCACAACAGTGGTCAAAAATCTATATAAAAACAAATAATATATTCATAAAGATTAAAATAAAATGCTCCACTTCTCTGTGAACTAGTCAAAAATATTTTAACTTTTTTTAAGATTAACTTTGAAAAATGATTATTTTGTGTACCAAAAACTTAATAATAATGATGCATTAAAAAAAATTGTTACCAATTACTGTCTCAAAAAGTTTTGTTTTCTTTTTCAAAAAGTTCTATTACAGTATATCCAATTTGCATTACCAATCAATCGAAATTACAAATTGAGTTTTCTAAATGGGCTGTCAATAATATTTGAAAGGTTTAACAGTTAAGAAATTAACTAAAAGAAAAGCTGTGATTATTGGAAAATACATTATACTCTGCTACAAACATATGACTTCATGTGGAATTATGTTTTAAATCTCCTTCACATCAATGCAATATTTTTAGGCAGTACTTTAGGCAGTGTTTTAATTAGCTGTGATTGTGTCTGAGTATATCTCTTCACTTTTATTATAGATTACTTGTCTCTTGAGATAAATCTGTTCTGTATAAAATCCTTTATAATCAAGCTGTGGTGAAGTCACAATAGTAGAGTAGTGTAGAGTGCAACAGCAAACCAAATGAAAGAAACTTTGGACATAAGGTTTAAAAAGGTTTTATGATAAGGTTTAAAAAGGTTTTATAATAAGGTTTAAAAAGAAAGAAAAAATAGAACGTAATAACAGTGAAGTGGCTGACACATAAGAAAACTTTCTGCAAACAACATAGGACACATGTTCATGTTAATGCCACTATCCCCAGCAGCATATACTTCACTTTTCTTCACACCCCCATCATCTGCCACCATAACAAGGGCAAAAACAACCAACTAGCCCTTCATGATTGTGACAGTTTCCGGTGAGCTAAATAAAATGAACCACACAAAGTGTGCTATGGTATTACAGTTATTAGTGGTCATGGTGAAATATGGGTGTTGCCTGAAAGAACATGGTTTATTCTAACACACAGGAGGATTTTAAGGAATCATTTGTAAATGTACTTTATAAGCTGAACTTGAGGACTTCAGCTCTGTGAGAATAATATGGACTTCAATACATAAAATACCATGCCGTTATCACAAATAATGCTCATCATTCAGTTTCCTTAACAAGCACAACATATTCCACCATTGCATTCATAGAAACATAGATGAGACGTGGGAGAAAAAGACATAGCAGCCCATTTAATATTTTATTCATTACAGGTAGTGCTGACAATTTGCACAACTCTTCACATAGTGCACATTCACATCAGTCCCTGTCCTCAAGGAGCTTACAGGGTCCCTATCTCACATACATATAGGGCGAATTTAGAGAGGAGCCAATTAACCTACCAGCTTATCTTTGGAGTGTGGGAGGAAACCTACACAAGCACAGGGAGAACATGCAAACTACTTGCAGGTAGTGACACTGTAGAGCTGGGATTCGAACCAGGGATCCCCAATGGAAAGCAGAAGCACTAACCACTACACAACTGTGCTGCCACGGGCTGAACAAAAAAAAATTCAACAGATTCCTCCATCAAAGCTTATTGCTGGCTGCTATCTGACTACTCGAACAGAGCCAGCAGCTCTTTGGCTGCCTGCTTTGTTCACTCAAAGATTTTCTGACCGCCTCCTTTGATCAGCTGATCAAGGAATGATGGTTCCTGAAGAGCTGCCTGAGATTCTCATAATGTATGGCCAGCTTAAGGCTGGTCATAAACTGTTAGAATTTCAGCAGATTCACAGGACAGCATGGGGAGGTTGGAAGAGTCCAACTAGGACTGTACTAGCTACCACACAACACAGAGGGGGACACACAAGAAAACATACCAATGCACAAAACCTAAATATTAAACAAGCTTCTGTTGCAGCACAAGCCCCTCCAGTGTTACCAATCTCCTAAAAGGCCTACATACAGAAAATAACGCCAAGTCAGAACCATTATCTGCATATTCATAGATTTGGGGGCATTCCGTACTATGAGGCAGTAGATATACAGTGTTAGCAGATGGTGCTACATATGTACTTATAGCTTTCCAAAGGGTTTTTATAATGTGGAACGCCAGTTAATACTATCTTTGAGTTATAGATAGAGTGGGAAAAATGTCCAAACCGGTCGTGAGAGCTGGGTGTTAAAAAAAAACTTTCCTACCCACTATATGATTTTTTTACCCCACTATATCCACCATCTCTGCATATAAACTAGTTTATTGAAGTCCTGATAAAAAGAAACTCCTTTGATGCCCCCAAAACAAGCTGTCTTGTCTATTTCGACTTGATGCCCTTTGCAGTGTGAGTTCAGGTAGTTGATAAGGCAGCAAGTATCATACTTCAGGATTTTTCAGCATATGTGAAGAAGAGCAAAGAACCAGCCAGAGAGTTTTCATCAACGGTTGAGCTGTTTCCCGTGGGCAGCATACCTGGATTAAAAGGTTTATTCATTTATTCATTCTTTAAAGAGTAAGGGTTGTTTTTTGAATCAGATTTTTTTTTTATTGATGCTTTACCACATACAGAATATAAAGAGGGAAAAAAATAACCCAGAAACTGTATACAGAATTACATAGCAAAAAACGATACAAATCATTATACAAAACATAACATAATAGTATAAATAAAATACTTGAATACTCTACTAATAAAAGAGTAATGGTCATGATTGGGCTTAGGAAGGAATATGAATAATAGTGTTAAATTATTTTAAATTTGCAGGCTTACAAAATATATTTTGTTCCTCCTTATTTTCTTATTTAGCTTGACACTTTAGCTGGAGTGTCAAGGACATGTTGTCTCTTCTGTATTAGGGAACAAATACACAGAACACTTTCAAAATAGAGCTTTGACATTTTTTGTTTTTCTAACAAAATTCTGCTACTTATTAAATGTTACTCTGTTAAACATAACGGGCTATTTTCTTGCGATGCGTTTTTAATTGTACATTGACGTCGCTGAAGCCTCTGTCCCAGGACAAATACAGGTCAAATGGCAGTTGTTTTCATTCAGCATTCTGAAAATTCACAATGCTTTTTATTCATTTATGCATTTAGTAAGTTGCAGAAGCATATAATTTTCTTTCCAGTATGTGAGTGTATCTGGCGTCATTTCTTCTTTTAAATGACAGTTCTCCAGTTAAAATAACCCTGAAACTGTCTAGCCCGCATGAGACAATAACATTGACATTGCCGAACATCACCCATTAAGGCATGACTGTGTTGGGATAATTTTGTTCTTTCCTCAATCTAAACCATTGTTCAGCTGCCTGCCAAGATCTAGCACCTAATGATGAGAAAAGAATTGACAGACTGGAATCTGACTTATGACCGAATGTTGTTGGCTTGTCTACAACAAGGACATTTTTATCTAATGTACTGTAAGCTGTTTGTAAGCTGTTTGTAAGCTTACATCTCCACCTGTATTAATTTGCAGATATACATCTAAAACACTTTACATTATAATAATGATAATAAATATATCATAAAAAAAGATTTGTTATAAATAGACAAAAAATTATGATTAAAGCATAATTAGAACATAACTCCTATCATTTTTTTTTCAACAGTGAATACAGTAGGGAAGAGTAAGGACCGCTTTCAGATTTTCATTTTTGTCTTTGTCCCTGTTGAAGAAATCAAAGCTTACATCAAATGGACCATTTTCCCAGGAAACAAAAAGAGGACTCCAAAATGTTAAAGCCTTCGATGGAACAAGTATAAACGGGATATCTTTAAATGGGGACACTTGTTCTTGTATAAACTATGGGACTTACGCTCATTTAGGGGACCTATTTGCTCACTTATTGTTGTGTATAAAAGAAGCGGGAGAAAATATACCAGATAGGGACAAAGGCAACAATAAACACCTGACTGAAGTGTTTTGCTGGTTAAACTTTAAAGTGATAATAAAGACAAAATGTTTTACGCTTTATCAAATGATAATTAAATCACTTAGAATGGATGTTACTCCTTGATGTTTAAAAGTTTTAGTTTCCTGCAGAATCAGCTGGTCCCCTGAGCACTGGTCCTAATATCCTGTTTTAGGGTGTCTTCTTTCCTTTGGAGGATCCTATGCAGCCACCCTTGTGTGTGCTATTGAGTTTTGTGGGTCTCCACAAACATACAGGTACAGCAGGGCAAGCCACTCCCCTGCTCCCCACTGCTACTTCCTTCTTCTTTCCATCTTCCGGCTAGTAGAGGGACATGTGCTGGAGACTGCACTGTCATTTGTGATCTTGAACTGGACAGGAAGCTCAGAGAAGGAGAGTCGGAGCCATCTGTTTGGAAAAGTGAGGACCGTAAGTGTTTGGACAAAAATGTAAAGAAATATTTTGCTGGGCAATGTTAATTATTTGTTGGATCTGGATTCATTATTTTAAAAAGTTTGAGAGTTTAATATTACTTTAACTTGGCTGACTGGTTACACTTTAAATATGGTACCAGAATAAAAATTATTTAGGCCTGTCTTGAACAACCATAATGTTTGCATATAATTTATCTTCACTGTGCAGGCCCTGGCTTTGGAACTGACAAGAGGCAGTCCTGGCAAGAATGAGAGCTCAAAGTAAAGTAATGGCCATTGAACTTTGCTAAAAAACCATTTGCATGTCTTAAGAGGCATCTCCAGGTGCCTGGTCATTGGTTTTGGGGATTTTTTTGTCTAGTGTACTCCAGAAGCCTGTAAATTCAGGGAATTCCATTACAGAAATATCAACCTCAGCTAGGCATTCAACTCTTGCCCCTATGTGTTCCTGTCTCCTGTGCCTCACTTAGTTTAAAAAAACAAATCATAAGCCAATAGTACAGAGCAGGAGGTATGCTGAGTCTGGCCGGTTTGATCATGTTATCATGGCTAGAGGTGCATGTCAAGGCAAGGACAGTGCTATGACTGGCAGTAAGCAACTAGGCTCACTTTTCAAGATAAATCCCTGACCATACACATACCTTGTTCTTGCATTCTTCTCTTCCCTTCTCTTCCTTTGCAACGGGGGAGGGGCGGCGATTTGCATATGAATGAGCCGCAATATTTACATATGAATGGGCCGTAAGGTCCGGCGGGCCGGATTCGGCCCGCGAGCCTTGTGTTTGCCACCCCTGGTTTAGAGCATTTAGAATAAAGAACAATAAAAGATAATGCCTGTAATTTATCTCTCTGACTTGTAAAATGAATTTAATTTTCTTGAAAAACTGTCATTAAAATATATTAACTGAGACATAAAGCAATACTGTTTAACAAGACACTAGTATGAGCTCCTGTGGTCTCTTCAGCCTCAGTCAGCTGTCTTTTAATGAAACAGCAAAGCTCACTACAACTGTACATATTCTGTAAAGACAGATTCACTTTTAAGGCCTCATTCACACGTCCATGCGGCTTGCATGCCCATAAATGGGCCGAGCCCAGGAGGGACAGGTGCTGTGTTTAATTGCATGCATTGCATGTTCTTCCCTATGGGAGGACGCAGCTAAACCCTGTCATACGAACACCCAAACTTGCACATCTGTGTGTGTCCTCATGTCACAATGTGCAAATTCGGGTGTCTGTATGACAGCATACAGTCACGTCCTTGCATAGGGAAGAACAGGCTTGTGCACGCAATGACACCCAGCACCTGTCCCTCTGGGATCGGCCCGTTTACGGGCATGCACGCCGCACGGACATGTATGCCCCATCTAAATGAGGCCTAAAAATTAACGCCGCTGACTCTTTGCCCGATCTGCTTCCACAATCCTCTCTGTCTGACTCATTACTCTATCCCACTGCGTCAGTGATATACTCAATAATACATAAAGCAATCTGTCAGTATTTTCTACATGTTTTTTATTTCTATTTTATCAACAATGATAAGAACTCCCCATCAGTACAATAAGCCAACATATGAGCTGCTGTACCCATGGCTGAAGCAATCTGGTTTCACTCCATACACTCCGGGCAGACTTTTTATTAACCCTTGCAGTGGAGCTACCCCTGCACTGCAAGTGTTAACTGCTTGTTTTTGTCTAGCATAAAAAAAGATATACTCACCCAAGCCGGCTTGTTCTTCGACTGGTCCCTGGAGCATCTCTCTCCCTCCGCAGCAGCGGTCTAAGGTCCTGTAACTCATCACGTTATATACACAGCGGGGAATTTATCAAAACTGGAGCAGGCAAAATCTGTAACAGCTGTGCATGGCAACCAACCAGCATCCATCTTTAGTTTTCAAAGCTTAGCTGAACAAACTGAAGACAGAAGCTGATTGGTTACTAAGGTAAACTGCTCCAGATTAAGTCTGCTCCAGTTTTGATAACCCCCACAGTGTATAGA